TCCAACGCACCTCTAACTTTTCAATTCCCTTTATATTAAACGATTTGTCTTTGCCCCCAAAATAAGCTTCAGTTTCCGCAATCACTTCTTCATTTGAGCCAAATTTCTTTCCCTGGAGCATTTTTTTCATACCTGCAAAGAGCCAGTAGTCGCTGGAGTCCAAATCTGGAGAGTACGGTGTGTAAGGAAACAATTCAAAACGTAATTCATTCAATTGAACCATCGTGTTCATCGACTTGTGACACGGCGCATTGCCTTCGTGAAACAGCAAACGCGGCATCCACTTTGAAAGCAATTTGCACATGCCCAAATTTTCATGCAAAATTGTGAAGACACTACCTTCTGATATCTTCAAAGCATCAGCTATCTCACACAACTTAAGTTTACGGCCCTTTAAAACTATTTTGTGGACATTTTTTATGTTTTCCGGAACGACTGCTGATTTTGGGCAACCAGAGCGTTCAGCATCATCGGTGCCTGTATGACCGCGTTTAAATTAAGCATACCAGTCAATGATAGTTGATTTTCCTGGTGCAGAGTCTCTATAATGCTTATGAAGTCACTTTTTGACTTCAACAGCATTTTTTCCGATTAAAAAACAGTGTTTAATCAACACACGAAATTCCTTTCTATCCATTGTCTTCAAAATTACGAAACTGGGGGTACTAAAATGATTGTAACTTCTAAACTATTGGTCAGAATACCATGAAATTTTGACACGTACTGTTTGAAGGTTAGTATTATTCGAAAATAACGTGGGTCTGTCACCAGTGTCGCCATATATGTGTCAGACCGGGGACTTATTGAGTGACGTGTTATAACTAGTCTATTATATTCTTATACATATTATTAGTTTATTATAGTTTAATGCTATTAATTTATTATAGTATAGTACTATTAGTCTAGTGTATTAATATCAGTAATATTAATTTGTTATAGCGTAGCCATTGTTTATAAACTATAGTATAATATTACTAGTCTATTACTAATTCTATATAAATAAAAACAGAACAATTTAGTGTTACGCTTACCTAGTTTCACTTCATCTGTGCTGAGTGGTGGTTTAAACGTCGAAGTAAGATTGTCATTCTTCGCTATCGACTCCGGCGCGATCTTCGCATCTCTCTTTATGACAGGCATTTTCTGTATTCAACATTAAAAAGAATATTTCAATTTTTGCTTACAAATGTTACGTACACAATACGGTTTTAATTTTAAGTCGAATATCTTAATTATTTCTTTTACTATTGCAAGGAAAAGGGAAACATCGAGTCGAATGTACCGATGTCAACCCACGAGATAGCGCGTGAAGAGGTTAACCAGAGCTGTTTAGTAGAGCACATTTCGAGATCATTATATTATTCCTAAATCCCCATATTTCCAAATTTCTATATCAAATGAGATTTCAAACTCTTGAGTTACCGTATCATCAAACTGTATTACTCGAATATATTACTGAGACCCTACATTCAGGAATCCTTAAATCCTCAAATTTATAGCTTACTGAATATTCTGAATCCCTACATTACTGCACGTCTACATTTTTAAATCAGTACATTTCTAACGCTCTCAATTTTCAAATTGCTATATTCTAAAATTTCTAATTTTCAAAATTTCTAATTTCCCAAGTTCCTACATTCCCAAACCCCTATGTCTCTAAATTTCTACCTTCCTAAATCCCTACATTCCCAAATCCCTACATATCCAAATCCACATATCCCCAAATCCACACATCCCCAAATCCCTACATCCCCAAATTCCTTACATTCTCAACTTCCTATACTCCAAAATTCTCACATAGCTAATTCACTACAGTCCCAAATCCTTACATTCACAAATTCCTACATATCCAAATCCACACATCCCCAAATCTACATATCCTCAAATCCCTACATATCCAAATCCACACATCCCCAAATCCACATATCCCCAAATCCACACATCCCCAAATCTACATATCCCCAAATCCACGCATCCCCAAATCCACATATGCTCAAATCCCTACATCCCCAAATCCCTTACATTCCCAACTTCCTATACTCCAAAATTCTTACGTACCTAATTCACTACAATCTCAAATCGCTACATTCCCAAATTTCTACATATCCAAATCCACACATCCCCAAATCCACATATCCCCAAATCCCTACATCCCCAACTCCCTATTCTCCAAAATTCTCACATACCTAATTCGCTACAGCCCCAAATCCCTACATATCCAAATCCACACATACCCAAATCCACATATCCCCAAATCCACACATCCCCAAATCCACACATCCCCAAATCCACACATCCCCAAATCCACACATCCCCAAATCCACACATCCCCAAATCTACACATCCCCAAATCCACACATCCCCAAATTCCTTACATTCCCAACTTCCTATACTCCAAAATTCTCACATACCTAATTCACTACAGCCCCAAATCCCTACATTCCCAAATTTCTACGTCCCCAAATCCTCCACATCTTCAAGTAGCCTCGGCTCCAATTGATCAGAATATAAAAATGGACCTCACACCTATTTTCCGCGTTACCACCATTGACTCCAACTGTTACGCATACCAATTCGGCCAAAAACAATAACAGTCGATGAACGTCTCAAGGGAAATAAAGCGAATTGCGTTTAGCAGTTGTTATTGTAATTATTATTCTTATTTGCCAAAATGTAACGATGGAAGTGTTCACGGTGGGGATAGAGCTTCTTTTGCTTTGGGTCGATCACGCGCCAACTCGTGGGCTGACGTCTATAGATTGTTTCAACTAACAATGAGTAGAATATAAATTATTTTGAGGATGATGAGGAGAAGTACATTGTAAAGCTTATTGTTATTTTTAATATATCTGCACTGGATTGATTGGACGATGGTGATGAAAAGCGCATTGTAAAGGTCATTGTCATTTTTTGACGTATTTGCTATCGCGTTTTATGATGTAGTACTTTAATTTGATTTAAGACGAGTTCAACGATTTACAGGGTGCCTCAGTTTTTTCCAGCCAAACTTTGCTAGTGTATTCTACTCGCAAAAGTAATTAAAAAGTGTTATATATATTGGAGATAAAAGTAAGAGTGATATAAGAGCGATACACGAATTAGCATTAACATTTGTCTCCATCTAGCGATGTTAATCATCATTGTTTGTTCCTTCTTGTGTTCGCATGTTTCGATTCAATATTTTTCTCACGTAATTCTGATTGTATTTTATATCGTTCTTAAATAAATAGTTTTTGTGCTTTGTATATAATTAATTACGACACTATTTGTCCACGGATCTCCTCGCCTTCAACAATATAAACATTTGTTCTTATATTAAGGGTACGGAAAAGTAATCAAAATTTCTTCGATGACTTCAAAGTTTTTCAGTGAAAAATTGAAGGACTTTTTTAAAAAGGGAATCGAACAATTGCCTTTACGCTAACAAAGGCCTTAGAAAATAATGGAAATTATTTTGTTGATTAGCATTTAAGATTTCTTTAATAAATAAATGTTTTTCGAAAGCAAACGAAGTTTTGATTACTTTTCGGTACCCCTAATATATATATAAGTTCTTATATCCTGTATATAGGAGGATGATCTTGAAGAAATAATGTGTATCTTTTTGAATAATATAAAAGAAAGTGTATACTTCTTCTTCTTCTTCTTCTTCATAAAATTCTTTGTATCATGTAGCTGATATTAAAACGTATTCAGGATGTGTAAATTATACATATAGAGCTTGTATATACAGTGATTTATCAAAAGCTTCCATATTGAATAAGTTTCTATTGATTGACGTTCGAAACAAATATTTTTCACAAAACGTGTTGTGTTAAGCGAAGTTCATTAAACAAAGCTTCTCTCTCTTTTATATATTTCATCTCACAAGATATTGAATATCCCGCCTTTATATTTTTATTGATTTTATATTTTTTATATAGCACGACATATTTTTTTTAGTATTGGAATAAAAAGATAGCTCCATTGATGTTATACAATGTAACCTTGAAATTATTTTTAACTTCAATATACGGAGAAAATTTATCAAGGATAATTACATAACTTATCCTTCGTTATTTTATTAAAAATGAAATAATTCAAGTAACATTAAAATAATAATAAATTTTGTTTAAAATGCCTTTTTGAAAAATAAGGAAATAAAAAGTTTGAGATTTCATTGACTGATGTTTAAATTGTATATGAATGTGTATAAATAATAATGTTTTAATGAATAAATAAAAGTTTCGCGATGGTGACGTTTTGTAACGTATTGACTTAAGAAGAAATTGATAACTTATAAATTAAATCGAATTACAAGTATAATGAAAATACTTGTCACATTTGTATTTTAATACTTTAACTAACACTTTAACTTACATAACCTTCACTTATCTTTAAAATACAAATTTCAACTCTGATTCATCACTTAATGGGAACGATTCTATTTCAATTGTATAAAATTTTATTAAAATTCTGCTAAAAATTTATTTAACAAAGTAAGGTAAATACTGAAGCATTTCATTTATTGAAAATAAAATTGCTAACTAAATAAATTGTCGATAATTATGTATCTACAGTGCTAATTTTAAAAACAATTAAATAGCAACCCCTTTAATTTTCCAAATCCTTCATCAAATTTCTAATCGTAACTCTTACCAAATTTTTCAGTTTCACAACACGTGGAAGACATTAAAATTCCTCTCTAAATATCATAAAACCATGAAACACACGTTTACGTTAACGTATAAATTTAACAATGAATATTTTATAAATACCAAACGATTTTATTAAAAACCACGACCGATTGCACGCCATCGAACAATAAAAACTCATAATTGCGGCGACTCCATTGGTACTGCGGGATTTCACAATCAACATCACGCTTCCGCATTTTGTAGATTAAATCCGCATGCGTATCAAGTATTACAATGTCAACTTGTCTGATTTCAGATACTCTGAAATTCTATGTTTATAAATGATAGTGCAACAAGCTTGATTAACAAAGTGTATTTTTACACTTAATTTTTAAGCAGGGGACCTTTGATTATTTTTATTTTTAAGTAGGGGAATATTTTAAAAGTTATCTACTATGTTTAAAGAGATTTTCACGTATTTACTTATTTACATCATTACCTCTTTATATGTTACCAAATTAATAGAAGATATGTCCTCACATCGAAGTGTTCCTAATATTCCAGATTCAATATTCAATTTAATATTTTAGCATTTAATATTTAATGTTTTATATCTAATCAGTATAGATTCATTGCTTTAATATTTTCCCTAAAATGAATCTGCTTAAGCAAGCATTTAGAAATAGTTAAATTTTGCATATAACTCGTAATGTAATCAAAGTTATAAAATATTTAAAAACATAAAATAGTTTATTATCTTTTGCATTCCACAATAGACAGAACATTTCACACAAAAATTGTATTACTATAATAAGCTCAGTAAATCAATAATCAGTAATTTCAGAAAACCCGTGACAGGAATGTTTATGATTTTCAAAATATAATTACTTCTTAAGAGAAAAAAAGTGTAGAATGGCAACCGCTGCGAAACTGCGTGAGTGTGTATGAGTGCGCGTATGACAACATATGTATAAAGAGTAAAATAGGTCGCGTATATGAAGTGTGAAATAGGTCATGAATGTAAAATGTGAAATAGGCAAAAGACGGTTGATAACGAACACGGAAAAGTCGAGAAGATTCAGAGAAAACACGAACATACGACGTGCGTATCGATAAATAGACGCGATCGCGGTGCGACAGGGAGTTTTGCAACGAAACCGCAGTATTCAGGACACGATATTTCTGATAACGATAAACGGACACGATTATGGATTACGACTACGATTTTACGACTTGCAATTTGAAATAGTAATCATTTCTCTTGTTAATTCTGTGTATTGTTATTTGTACGCGTTACTTGTATTCTTTTGTTGTCGTTGCTTTATCTAAATAAAGGATAGTTATAGAAAATACTATTCCGTAACTAGTTAGTAATAGTTAAGTAATAGTTAAAATTTATAGTTAAAATAGTATAGTTAAAATACACTTAAAACGGCTGTTTTAACAAATCTTAACTTACACTACAATTCGTCAAACATATGCGTCAGACTTACCATACTGTTATTTGTCACAATATGAAAACCGATA